CCAACTACAACTAAAAAATATATACATATCAAAAAAAAGGAATAAAGTACTGATTCATGTCACAACTGATGAACCTTGAAGATTATGCTTAAGAAAAAGAAGCCAGTCGCAAAGGACCACATTATGAGTTTACTTATGTGAAATGTCCAGAAGAGACAAATCTAAAGAGTCAGAAAGTAGATTAGCAATGATTGTCAGGAGCTGGGCAGTTTAAGGGAAACGGAGAGTGACTGACAAGCAACAAAATGTTCTAAAATTGGTAGTAATGATGAGTACACAACTCTGTAGATATACTAAAAATCAGCAAACTTGTACATGTTAAGCAGATAAAGTATACGGTATGCAAATGAGATCTCAAATGTATTTATTTAAGAAAAAATACAAAAAAAAAAAACATGGCAGGCACAGTGGCCTATAATCCCAGTTACTCTAGAGGCTGAGATAGGGATTGAAATCTTACTTTGAAGTATTTATGTAAGAGAAATGCAAACATGGCTCAGTTGGTAGAGTGCTTGCCTAGCATGCACAAAGTCCTGGGTTCAATCTCCCACACTACCAAAAAAAAAAAAAAAAAAAAAAAAAAAAAAGAAAGAGAGAGAGAGAGAGAGAGAGAAATGCAAACACAATAACTGCCCCAAACTGGAAAATATCTAAATGTCCATTAACTGGAGAATAAGCAAACTGTGGCATATCCACAATGGATTACTATTCAGCAATAAAAAGGAATCAACTGCTGATACCTGCAACAGCATGGCTGAATCCCGAAAGTATTATGTTAAAGTGAAAGATACTAGACTTGTCAAAAGGTTACATATTAGCCGGGCACAGTGGTGCACATCTACAATCACAGTGACTGGGCAGGTTGAGGCAGAAGGATCACAAGTTCAAGCAATTTAGTGAGATCCTAAGTAACTTGGCAAGACCCTGTCTCAAAATAAAAACTAAAAAGGGCTGGCAATGTAGCTCAGTAGTAGAGCACCCCTGGGTTCAATCCCTAGTACCTGAAAAGCAAGAAAATTTAAAAAGAAAAGAAAAAGAAACTAAAAAGGATTGATATAGCACAGTGATACAGCACCTGCCTAGCATACAGGAGGTTCTGAGTTCAATCCCTAAACAACAACAACAAAAAAAGTTACATATTGTATGACTCTATTTCATGGCATTTTGGAAAAAATAAAACTATAATAATGACAGAAAACAAATCAGCAGTTGCAAGAGAAGGGTAGAGAGGAGGGCGTGATAGCAAAGTTGATGGGAATTTTGTCGGGACAGTATAGATGCTCTGGATGTTGACCTTGGTGGTGTTATGGAACTGCTTTTGTTGAAATTCACAGAACTGTACCACAAACAGGGTTAATTTTACTATAAGAAATTATACCTTCATAAATCCAACCTAAAAAAAAATTAAATGGTCAGTCCAAGAGGTCCAATATTCAACTAAAAGAAGTTCTCGGGGCTGGGTTTGTAGCTGAGTGGTAGAGTCCTTGTCTAACATGTGAAGCCCTGGGTTAGAGTCACAGCACTGAAGAATCAATCAATCAATCTCACAATTTATAAGGGTTCTGGAAAAGAGGGAATGAAGAAAAAACAAAGGTCTGACTGAGGGACGGGAGGATAAAGGAGGATGATCACAAGTTTCAGCTCAGCCTCCTTATTTTGAGAGAGTGTCTCAAAATAAATAAATAAATAAAAAGCACCGAGGATGTAGCTCAGTGGTAAAGCATCCCTAAGTTCAATCCCCAGTACAAAAAAATAAAAATACTAAAATTTTTAAAAGCAGAAGTAAGTCACATCAGGAATTGGAATGGTCTCAAAAATCTTAACAATACAAAAGTCTAAAAGGCAACAGAACAATYCCTTTAAAATTTGTGAGGAAAACAATTTGCAGCTTACAATTCTACAATCAGCCAAACTAATATCGAAATTATAGTGCAAAGTAAGATATTTTTAGACATGCAAGATTTCATTTGCTTTTTTTATTTTTTAGGTACTGGGGATTGAACCCAGGGGAGATTTACCACTAAGGCAAATACTCAGCTCTTTTTAATTTTTTTTTAATATTTATTTATTTAAGTTTTTAGTTTGTGGTGGTCACAACATCTTTGTCTGTATGTGGTGCTGAGGATCGAACCTGGGCCGCACGCATGCCAGGCGAGCACGCTACTGCTTGAGCCACATCCCCAGCCCCCTTTTTAATTTATTTTGACTCAGGGTCTCACTTAATTGCTGAGGCTGGTCTTGAACTAGCAATCCTCCTGCCTAAGCCTCCCAAGTCACTGGGATGACAGGAGTATACCACATCTGGTTACACATGCATATTTTTAAAAAATTTACTTCCCATACACCTCTAGAACAGAAAATTGATGGCTTCACCAAAATAAAGGAATATAGATGTTGTGGCTCAGTGGTAGAGCACTTGCCTAGCAGGTGTGAGCACTGGGTTCAGTTCTCAGCACCACATAAAAATAAATAAAATAAAAGTTAATTAACAAGTTAAAAAAAAAAAGATGAGGAGCTGGGTACAATGGTGCATGCCTGAAATCCCAGTGGCTAGGGAGACTGAGGCAGAAGGATCACAAGTTGAAAGCCAGCCTCAGCATTGAGGTATTAAGCAACTCAGTGAGATCTTGTCTCTAAATAGGGCTGGGGATATGGCTCAGTGGTTGGGTGCCCCTGAATTCAATCCCCAGTATCAAAAAACAAAAAACAAAAAACAACAACAACAAAAAAAGAAAGTTGAAGAAAGGGAATATGGAAAGAAAGGGATCCAACACAAGAGAAGGAGGAAGGAATCCCTAGAATGAGGTTAAAGCAAATCTCTTCCTTTCTCCTCCATCTCCTAAAATGAACTGTGTTCCAAACATAGGGGTGTCTAATCCAATTGAATCAGATTAAAGGCCTGGAAGAGACCAAATTGACAGAATGCTTGATGTATCTATCTGAACAACCTGGGATCAACTTAAGTGGCAGAGAATTTGGGTTTGAAATGGTAATAATACAAAAAACATGAAGCCAAAAATACAGCAATTAAAAATTCCAAGAAAAATAAGTTTTACAGAAATGTGAAAGTATAGCCAAGCAGAGGTGGAGCATGCCTGTAATCCAAGCTACTTGCTTGGAGGTAGAAGGTTGAATCAGGATGATCAATATTTGAGGCCAGCCTTGGCAACTGGGCAAGACCTATTTAAAAATAAAAATAGCTGAGTGAGGTGGCACACATATGTAATCCCAGTGGCTTGGAGGCTGATGCAGGAAGATCCCAAGTTCAAAACCAGCCTCAGCAATGGCAAGGCACTAAGCAATTCAGTGAGACCCTGTCTCTAAATTTAAAAAAGTACAAAATAGRGCTGGGGATATGGCTCAGTGATTGAATGCCCCTGAGTTCAATCTCCAGTATCAAAAAAAAAAAAGTAATTTATTTTAAAAAAATGTGTGTGTATATATATATAGAGAGAGGGAGGGGCGGGGCTAGGGATGCAGCTTAGTGATAGAGAGCCCCTGGATTCAATCCCTAGTTAATCAATCCCTAGCGGTAGAATGTTCCTCTAGCACATGCAAGGCCCTGGGTTAGATCCTCAGCACCACATAAAAATAAATAAAATAAAAGGTATTGTGTCCAACTACTTCTAAATACGTATTTTATATAAAAAAGGAAAAGTATTCATTTGTTAATAATATAAACATAGACTACTGAACTAAAGTTACAATATTTTTTTTAAGAAAGAGTGAGAGAGGAGAGAGAGAGAGAGGGAGAATTTTTAATATTTATTTTTTAGTTCTCGGCGGACACAACATCTTTGTTGGTATGTGGTGCTGAGGATTGAACCCAGGCCGCACGTATACCAGGCAAGCGAGCTACCACTTGAGCCACATCCCCAGCCCTAAAGTTACAATATTAAAATGAAAAATGGGGTGTGGGGGGCCAGGGTTGTGGCTCAGTGGTAGAGCGCTTGTCTAGCATGCTGAGGCACTGGGTTCAATCCCCGGCATCACATTAAAATAAACAAAATTAAGATATTGTGTCAATCTACAACTAAAAAAAGAAAAATGGGGTGTGGAAAGGCATGCATATGTGATGGGGGAAGAAGATGGAGGGGAAAAGAGTCTAAATATCTAAAACTGATAACTCAATAAGTAGCAAAATAATCATATTGTTTAGGAAACACAGTGGTAAAACTATCAATCAGTTTCAAGGAAAATGTATTTGCCTCTGGGGAAGAAAATATTGGTAGAAACCACTGTTTTTGAAACTATTTCTGTGCATGCATTCATAACTTTATCAGTTATAAAAACAAAAAAATTTAAAACTCAAAACAAGCCGTGGGCCAAAATAAACCTTTTCTCTTTATAAGTTAAAAAGACAAACAAATAAGCAAACAAATAAAACACAAAGAAACAAGGTCCTTGCTCTGGAGGAATTCTCAGAAACAAAACAAACATTAACAGAAGTAGGTGCAAAGCACTGCCAGAAYTTAGAATGTTCAGGAGGGAGAAATTAATCATACACAGTAATGTTTAACTTTCATTTTGTTTACTATGTATCAGGTTCAGAAAAAGAACAAAGTTAAGCAGATTAGGAGATTGACTGCCCAAATCACCGTGTCATCATTTATCACCTAGCAAGCTGGAGGAGGTACACAAACAGGAGTAGGACATGGCTCCAGAACCCGAGCAGCTCAGAACCTGAAGGTGGAGATTGACACCTAAAACGGTGATTACAACCCAGGATCGGGAGTRCAATCTGTGACAGACCCTGATCCCAAGAAGACAGGCAGGTGGCTGGGCGCCTGGGCCCCGGAGCACCCACCTGCGACTACGTGACGCTGGAGGAGAGCGGGTAGACAAAGCCAGCTCAGGGTCAGGCTCCACTCATCTTCTCCCCGCACCCCCGCACCCCCGCACCCCAACCTACCGAGTGTCCTTTCCCAGCGACCAAGATCCGGGCCAGAACTCATTCCCACCACACCCGACCCTTTCTTTCACGGCTGAAGCCAACTCACCGACTCGGCCGCCGCTTCCTGCTCATCCACCGCCAGGGCCCACGAGTCGGTGGCCATGGTCCCCAGTGCGGGCGGGACGCAGCCGCGGGAAGGCGCGCCGGCGGGCGAAGCGCAATCTCGAGCTCCGGGGGGTCTCAGCAGCCCCGGCCCAGCCCCTCCGAGGGGGAAGTCATTCGCTGCCGCGCTGGGCACCGGAAGCGACGCGGCGCAGTGACGTCGAGCCGGCGCCTGCCGGCCGCCTTCGCCCCTTCGGGCAGTGGCTTCAATTGCCCCCAGATGCCCACCCAGAACTTCAGTGCTGGGCACCGTCCCCGGTCCAATAAAGGTAGCCCCGCTCTGGTCAGCTGCCCCTCCAGCCAAAGAACAAGATCACATTCCCGCCCAGCACAGCGGCAGGGAAAGGTTGATGCAGACTGAGTATATCGAAACGAAACCAGGCCGACAGTCCAAATGCATAAACAGCAGTTTCACTTTTCAGGCTGCTCATTTTAAATGTCCAGGTGCGGTCAATAGGCTCTGTGAGATTTACCGGTATCCTAGCGAGCTCGCCAGATTTGAAACACATTGCATTTGCCCCCACCCCTCCACTGAATCACGAGAGTGGGCACTGAAGGCCTACAGCCACCACCCTGACAAGCGCCGCGGACGCTAAGAGCAGAGATGCACCCGACACCAGCCGTCTGTTACAGAAACAATCTGCATACATACATTTCCTGCCGCTTCTTAAAAGTTCTGCTCGCCTTTAGAGATTTAGAAGATGGGAACTTTCAAACTAAGTTTTTTCTGTCTTCTTTCAAAGTTGGCTTTGAATAGAACCTATTTTCCTATCAATTTGACTCCAAATATTTCCGAAGTAGCCAGTGATGTAACCTACCCCCACAGGTATTAGAGCCGCTGTACAACAAAATATTCCCGTAGGTTAAAACTTTGCCCCACAGACAATGTGACAACACCACTTACAGGAATTTAGCATTGAAAATATTTAAGGAAAGTGATAGGGAAAAGTGTTGTAGGTAGAGGGTCAGAGACAGGAAAGAGCAATGGAGTTTTGGGAACTGAACAGATAAACTATTCTGTCAGTTCTGCCAGGAAGTTAATGATCAAACATAGGAACTTTTGACATTTGCTGTGCCTGGGTTAGAAGCCAACCTCTCCGACATAAGGGTTGTGTAATTGGGATTATTTTGGGGAACAAAAATTTTGTATGTGTACCAGGGGTTAACCCTAATAGGGTTTCCTTATGTTTATAGCCTCACTAAGTTGCTGAGGCTGGCTTCAAACCTACGATCCTCCTGTCTCAGCTTCCCAAATCACTTGGATTACAGCCATGCAGCACCATGCCCAGTTTGGGGGACATTTTTTTAAAAGGAGGAAATATTTTAGATTTTTAGAAGAGGTAAAATAAGGATTGAGACATTTGTTTTCCCCAACTGAAATCTAATAGGCTTCTCTATTTTTTCCTAGAAAGAAGTTAGGCATTTTCCTGCAACCTGAAAAAAAAAAAAATGAATTCCAGCTTCTTTCATTTGCCACTACTCCACTACTACAAGTTAACCTCAGGTAATGGTGGGTAGGTAAGGTTGTGCACAAAAGAAAAAGGCAAACAACCTGGGAGCCATGGCCTCTATCTCATCAAGGGAGAAGCCACCCAAGGAAAATTCTTTCAGAGAAATTATGTAATTTTTAACAGGGTTGAAGAAGGAATTACCCCCCACAAAAAAAAAAAAAAGTTTAATAAAAGTTAAAAATCAGATTACCTGAGGTACAGGTATATAACAGGTTCCACTTGTGCAACAAAAAAAACAAACAAACAAAACAAAAAAAACCCTCAACTCACGTATATGCTTTGTATACACAATGGAAAATGCATAAGGTACACACAAAATTGAAGCTTGTCTCTGGGGTGAGGGGTGTTAGGATAGGGTGGGAGACTTCTTTTTGGTACTTCATCCTCTGAAATTATTTTCAATGCTTTTCCTTTTACAATTCTATCTCAAAAAGGAAAAGGAATAACAATTACCCAGATGCCCACCACAAGGCTGAAGAAATAAAACAGTCTGGGTGTGGTAGCTCACCTGTAATCCTAGCAACTTGGGATGCTGAGGCAGGAGGATCACAAATTCAGTTTCAGCAATTTAGCAGRGCCCTAAACAATTTTAATTTTTATCAAAATATGAGATAAAAATGGGCTGTGGATGTGACTTAGTGGTTAAGTCCCCTTGCATTCAATCCAAAACAATAAAAATAAAACAATCAAGAGGGTCTCTGTGGCCTAGACTTGTAATCCCAGCAAATAGGCAGCTGAAGCAGAATTGTGAGTTTACGCCCAGCCTTGGCAATTTTGCAAGACCTTGTCTCAAAATAAAAATTAAAAAAAAAATTAAAAGGGATGGGAATGTATCTCAGTGGTAATATGCCCCTGGGTTCTTTCCCCAGTATCAAGAAAAGAATTTTTTTTTTCATTAAAAAAAGAAAGGTGGTTATTGGGGATGTCACTCAGTATAGAGAGTTTGCCTAGCACGTGCTAGGCCCTAGGTTTAATCACCAGCATTGAAAAACAAAACAAATGAATAAAAAACTTCAATTGAAGTCCCCCTCCATACCCATATCAAGACAACAGCTATTCTGGAATTGACACTTGTTCTTCCTGTATACACTTTTAGCATGTATTACTTTTTCTATTAAAACAAAAGGGCTGGAGTTGTGGCTCAGCCAGAGTACTGGCCTCACACATTCGATACCACATAAAAATAAATTTTAAAAAATGTAGATAAAAATATATATTAAAAAAACCCCCCCCCCCCAAAAAAAAAAAAAAAAAAAACAGTAAAAGCCAGGTATGGTGGCCAACACCTATAATCCCAGCGACTCAGGAGGTTGAGGTTGGAAGATAGCAAGTTCAAAGCCAGCTTCAGCACTTTAACAGGACTTAAGCAGCTCAGGGAGACCCTGCTTCAAAAGAAAAAATAAAAAGGGCTGAGGATGTACCTCAGTGGTATAGACTTTTTGCCCCCAACATATATATGAGCATGGCGAGACTCCTACCAAGAAGGAACCTGATTTCCAAAGTGGGGTGTGGAGAGAGGTTTCAAGGGAATAAGAACACCTGGATTTGCGTCTGCTCCCACGTGGTCTTGGGCAGCCTTAGTTTCCTCTAAAATCATAGGTATATAACACACGGCAAAGGAATCTACCAGATCACAAAGCAAAGGCCTTGAGGTCTAGTGCCTGGCTTATGGTGAAGCCTGAATAAATTCTAGTTATTATTATCCCCCTGCCCCCAGAGGTAGGGGCAAGGAAGACGCTGAAATGCGGAAAACCAGGGACTGTGTCTACCCTCCCAAATACTCACACGGCTCACAGCCAGGGCGAGTGAAAACCTCCCCCGGCYTCGGCCACGGCTGGCAGCCCAAGCCATCACGGCTCAGCATGGCGGTTACACTCCCCCAACTGCCACTCATTGCCCAGGGTAAGCCTCAGCCTCATTGGCGGAGGCCGGAAGCCAGCCGCCCAGCCAATCCCCTGACAGAATGGGACAGGCCTGTCTGGTGCAAGACCAGGGACTTTGGGGGAGCGAGGGGGGAACGACAGGCAAAGACCAGCACTAGCGTCCTGCAGAGGACGCGTTTTTGATATCCAGCTTTGTCATTTGTCGCTGAATGTCTGTCTCTGTGACCTGGAACTCCATGAGAGTAGGGCAGTGTCTGCCTTTTTTAAAATGTTGATCCTCAGGGACTAACACATGGTAGTGACGTATTTGAGGAATTAGTGGTTGAGGAATACACATCCCTTCAGGTCCATCAAACTTTCTAAAGCTTTGCTTCTGGGGCTGGTTGTGAGGATCAGAAGCTTAGATCAGTACCTGGTGTATACTTAGTACTCAACAATTGTTAGTATGATTACTCTTAGTACATTGTTGTGAAGTGGGGAATTAATCAAGCAATTTATTTTTACTGGCTTAGGAGCTTTACATATTTGTATAGGATGCTATTTTACTTTAAAAACTATATTCTTCTGCACTGTCTGTAGCCAAGTTATGAACAGCACAATTTTCTTCCGTGTATTTGGATATACCGAAGATGTATGTAATAAAGAAGTGATTAAAGAGACAAAAGTTTGTATTCTGACTTTGCGACTTAATGATCAATATGGAGTTGGACAAATTCATTTGCTCATTGCTCATCTGTAAAAAAGGGATGCCAACACCTACTACACAGTTTATTACTGGTACTGAGTATTGAAAGGGTACTTTACCACTGATCTACATTCTTTTTTTTTTTTTTAAGCTAGAGATTGAACGCAGGGGAGCTCTACTACTGAGCCATACCGCCAGCCCTTTTTRTTTTTGAGACAGGGTCTTGCCAAGTTGCTGAGGCTGGGCTCCAATTTCCAATTCTTATGTCTCAGCTTCCCGAATCACTGGATTACAGGCCTGTGCCATGATGCCCGGCTTAGTTTTCAAAGGCAAATGGAGGGCCAGGTGTCTTTTACTGTTAGATCATTTCTTCCACATGAAATTGAAGGTCTGAAGAACAAGTGTATACATGAGCACAATAAGAACCGTTGAGTTCTGCACATAATTCTATAACTAGAACGAAGAGAAGTATACCAAAGACCTCTACTACACACGCTACAGCTCTTGTTAACTATGTCAACTGTTAGTAATTCCCATGAGGAAATCAAAATGTCGGTCTCCAGGAGCCAGCCTCCATCCCCGTCACGTGACATACTCTGCCCATCTTTCTCAGCCATTGCATCASCCGAGCTAGAGCCGCCTTTCCAAAAGCCGATTAATAAGCTGATTCGTGATCAGGTTGATTGGCATATATGTTGACCAATAATATTTCCTAGGAGTAGATCTTAGCGGAGCACTTTCCTTTGGCACGCCCTGATTGGATAGGGCGATGCGGGTTGCGGCGGGTTGTAGCCCGGGGCGGGTACAGCTGTGCTTTTGCTCTTCTAAGAGAGCAGGTAACCTCGGGCCTCCGGTGGGCTCTGAGGGAGGAGTTAGGAACSGGACCCTAGTGGGTGGCAGGCAAATTTCAGATCTCTGCGGCGCTGGGAGGGACCCGGGCCTAGGGGAAAAGGAGCAACTGCGGCTGGTGCCTGGGCCAGCTCCCGCGTGGCCACGGGAAGCCGGGCCTGGGCTGGAGCGGGGCCCGAGTCCGGGCGGGAGCGCGAGAGCGGCCCTTGCCAGCCCCTTGGCGCGCTGGAG